GCCCGCTGGGACCCAGAGGCCATGTCTTCCCCCTCCGGTGCTAGGGAGAGACCCGGGCTGGGGCTTCCCTGGCCCTGCTGTCTCTGGTCAGCTGCTGCCCCCTCCAGCTGGGCTCCTGGAGGTCCTGTGCCCTGCACGGCAGCTCTGGGAGCGGGAAGGCCAAGGTCTGTGGTGCAGCAGGAGGCAGCGCTGGTCCCGGAGGCAGCGGACGCGGGCCACCCTCTAGCACAGCCGTTCTCAGTCTGGGCCGTGGTTCCTCACAGCTGCCTGGCTGTTCTTCCGTCAGAGCCACCCGTGCGGCTCGCCATAGAAACGGTCCCCGGGTGGCGGTTGTAAAGCTCTGGAGAAGCCGTGGTGTGGGTGTTGCCGGGGGAACGCACCGGGACTTCCTGCCGGGAGAGGACACAGCGGGAAGCTGCCCCCCCGGCCGTGCTCTGGCGCCCGGTCCCCACAAAGCAGGGGGATGCTGCGTGCTCCGGGCGCTTTGCTTTCCCTTCCTCTCCACGTGGGTACCACCGGTCTGTGCCTTGCTGCTAGAGGCACAGGACCAGCGCCCCGCCCTCCTCGGACAGCCCAGCACCTCCTCCTGGCCTGAGCTCAGGCAGGGAAATCTGTCCCATGGACCCACATTGAAAGCACCCCAGGATCATTGTGTCTCCCCAGTCCTGCTCCCCCAGATCTCCCTGCTGGTCGGATGCAGCCTGGAGCTCTTCGCACACCTGCATTTGCTGCTGGGTCTTGCCTGGGGCTGGCTGCATCCCATGCCTGGCTGGGAGAGGCAGAGCTCGGTGCAGTCCCAGCCTGTCCCAGCCCAGCGGTGACTTAACAGAGCTGGCGGCTCACGGCTCCCCCAGCCCTTGGCAGCAGGTGCAGAACCGGGCTCTGGAGTTGTCTGTCGGATCTCGGGCGCTTTGTTAAACCCTCCAGCCCCTGGTGTCTCAGGCAGGGACCTCGCTGTGACCCACATCTCTCCCCTGCACTCTTCCCGGAGTCCCACCCTGGCCACAAGAGACAGAAGCGAGACTGGGTCATCCCGCCAATCAACTGCCCGGAGAACGAGCGGGGGCCCTTCCCCAAGACGCTGGTTCAGGTGTGGGAGGCCTTTGGCACAGTGCCCAGGTGGTGGGTCTGTCGCGGTTGGGGTAGGGGAAGGGGGCCTTGGGGAGCCTGCAGTGGGGCATGGCTGGTGAGCCATTTCATTGCCGGGATCTTGGGCACTAGCACGCAGTAACAGGGGGAGGCTCCGTCTGCGTTCACTAGCAGCAAAGTCCCCGACCCGCCTTCCAGGCCCGTCGGCCCTGTGTCCTCTAATGGGGTGAATGGGGGTGCATGCCGTGCTGGAATGCAAGGGGAGACATCTCTGGGGCTCTGGGCAGATGGGATGAGACAGCACAGTGCTCAGACCCCCACCCCTGCTGACCCGGCCTGTTCTCCGGCACTAGATCAAATCCAACAAGGACAAAGAGACCAAGGTTTTCTACAGCATCACGGGGCAGGGCGCAGACACGCCCCCCGTGGGCGTCTTCATCATCGAAAGAGAGACGGGGGCGCTGAAGGTGACACAGCCCCTGGACAGAGAGGAAATTAGTAACTACACGGTGAGTCCCTGGGCCCGTGGAGGGAGCAGGGCCGTGTCCTCTGGGGCCGATGACCCCGGAGCTCGGAGGTGGCTGGAAGGAGCGAGAGGCGCCAGTGAACTGGGTCTCGCCCCATTTCTTGCACTGCACGGTCCAGAGGGCAGCTGCCCTCCCCACGGTCTCTTCCCCGGGCCTGGCTGAGCACAGCCAGAGGGGCAGCTGCTGAGCCCAGCTAAGTACTAGAGATGTTAGCTACTGTGTAACCCAATAGTCGTGTAACCGCTAAGAGGTGGCTGGAAGGAGCGAGAGGCGCCAGTGAACTGGGTCTCGCCCCATTTCTTGCACTGCACGGTCCAGAGGGCAGCTGCCCTCCCCACGGTCTCTTCCCCGGGCCTGGCTGAGCACAGCCAGAGGGGCAGCTGCTGAGCCCAGCTAAGTACTAGAGATGTTAGCTACTGTGTAACCCAATAGTCGTGTAACCGCTAACAGTCCCCGGGGGCGGGGCCGGCGGCCACTGGGCTCCCAGCCCCGTTCTCGGGGAGCCCCCTGCCGCTCTGTCAGAG